AGGAGCGTGGTAGACGGGAGAGAGTCGGGACGGGGACGGCGGAGGCCAGAGCCGCGAGGGCGCCCACCAGGAGGATCAGCTGCAGGAGGGAGCAGGGAATCCCAAGATAAAATCCACAAGCACGACGACCACCACAAGAAAGGAACGATATGAACTTTGTGGGAAAACAAGAGAAATCATTTTGACTCAATAACAAAGAAGAAAAGACGAGCGCCATGATTGAATCTTACGGCGAAATACTCGTATTTTGCTGATGATAGAATAAATGAATAGAACTACAAAGACAAAATGTTCCGTAGAATATAATGAATAACGGGACTGAAGAAGGGACAGAGGGAAATGAGGGAGAGCAAGGATGGATGGGAATGAGAGAGACAGAAAGAGAGAGACTTTTACTAGCACGGAAGCCTGAAAGATATATGTATATTTTTCCCCCAGAAATTACTCACTTTCGCAGACATGTTGGTTTTGGTTGAAGAGAAGCTGAGTGAGCTGTGGTGCTCGGCTGAAATTGGAAGTCTCTTTTATACAAATCAGTAGAAGGGGAGCTGTGACGTCACTGTTACGAACACTCATTACTACAAAAGCAAATGAGGTGAAAGTAGTTATAGTATAGCACAAAGCTATGATGTTATTGCTATAAATAAGTATTCATAAAAACAAGAAGAGTCAAATGCGGTAAAAATGGCTATAGACTTAAGTAATACTGAACTAATAAAATTATTCATGATAGAACACCAGGCACACCTTTTTTGTATAAATAAATAAATAAATATAATATAAATAAAGTGTATAAATAAATAAAAGTTGCTGAGAACAGTAATACCAGTTAATCGCATGATGACGATGCTGATGTTCTTGATAGTGATGATGATAATTATCACGATACTGATAATGTCTGTGAAAGGAATAATGATAATTAATAGTTATCAATGATGATAACGGTAATGAAATCGATAATCAGAAAGACTCGCGAAGCAGTAATGTTTTTGAGTTTTGCATAAATTCTTATTCTTTATGATAGTATCGGTGTATCGGTGATAATTATAATGACAATAATAATAATGACACTAAGTAATAATGATACTAAGAGTAATAAGGATGATAATGGTACTAATAGTAATAATGATAATGATACTAATAGTAATAATGATAATGATACTAATAGTAATAATGATAATGATACTAATAGTAATAATGATAATGATACTAATAGAAATAATGATAATGATACTAATAGTAATAATGATGATAATATTAAAAGTGACTTTACTACTAATAACAATGATAATAATAATGATTACATTAGTACAACGGATAATGATGATAATGCTATTACTGATACTGATACTTGTAATAAGAAAGATAAACTAAGTAATCATAATAATGATCATAATAAGATAATGATAATAATGATGATGATGATAATGATAATAACAGCAATAATTATGACAATAACAATATTAATAAAGAATAACATTATTATAATTATCACTAATGTAAATATCATCATTACTAATATCATCATGCCCATTGTCATCACTATTTATTCAATCACTACAAATGTCATTATCATTAATATTATTATTATTATTATTATTATCATTATTATTATAGTTATCCCTATTGTTATTATTATTGCCATTGCTATAATTCTCTTATTCTCATTAGCATAATCATTTCCCTTCTTATAACTTTCATCATCATTACCAGTGCTAGAATTGGACTTTTTAGGAAGGATCTCATTTGTAGAAGAAAGCAGATTTGGTGTCAGAATCTGATTGGAGGAAGGAGAAAGAGAAGGCGAAGAAGAGGAATACGAAGAAGAAAAGACGGAGTAAGTGAAAAAAAAGATAGAATACAGAGAAGAAGAAGGAGGAGGGGAAGAAGATGAATACGAAGAAGAAAAGACGGAATAGGCGAAAGAAATAGAATACAGAGAAGAATAGGACGGAGAAGGAGGAGGGGAAGAAGGAATAGAAGGAGAAGAGATTCCAAGCACTCTCAAGGAGACCGAGGAAAGAAGAACAAGCAGGAGAATGAAAAGGAGAGAAGGAAAGCGAGAGGAAGAGATTCCAAGCACTCTCAAGGAGACCGAGGAAAGAAGAACAAGCAGGAGAAGGAAAAGGGGAGAAGGAAAACGAGAGGAAGAGATTCCAAGCACTCTCAAGGAGACCGAGGAAAGAAGAACAAGCAGGAGAAGGAAAAGGGGAGAAGGAAAACGAGAGGAAGAGATTCCAAGCACTTCCAGAAGGCTTCGATCCCTGTTCCGATTCCGCCGCCAGAGAGCAGCTGCGGAGCGACGACGCGAGAGCTTGTGGCGAGCGACTCGTCCTCCGTCAAGTGGGAAGCGGCGTGGTAGTGAAGAATCTTTGGTATTCTAAGTCACTGTGTAAATAGAGTACTCGTTTTCTCCGCTCTTAAGAAGTATCTAGCTGTTTGTAGTAAGCAACTGGTCAAGTAGAACCTCCAACCCCTCATCCTCAAGCATGCACATATA